AGATTGTTGGCTGAGCAGTTACAAAAATAGCCAGGGAAATGATTGAAGCCTGGGAAACAGACCCCTTGTCAGTCAACCAAGGTGATGATGGTAAATCATGTGGCAGCACATGGAAACAATAGCCAACTTAATAACCGGCCATCAACAACAAAAAAGCCACACATAACCAGGCGCCACATATATACTATGTGTAGAATAGTCTACAGCACACATTCTGGTGAAAGAAAAGTTCCCTGAGGATGGGCTCCAGCATGAGTCCAAAAAGCTTGGAAAACTAAACCTTTGGTCCCCTGTAAGCGATCCAGATTGAATCCAACACATAAAAAACAACTGCCACAATATCAAAACTGAGAAGTTGAGGGGAAAAGTACATGAATGGGAATTAACTTCCAACAGAATGAATAGGGGATTCAGAACAAAAGTGCAGAACTTGTTAAAGTCCCGGAATCCCATTTTTCAGAAGAATAATTCTTTTCTAGAGACAAGATTTAATTTTCCAGAAAAACTCTTCTTTATTGGGTTTTGGGAAATCTGCCTGAGAAAATGTATAAAGAACCAAAATGACTCACTGGGAAATTGCACTAACAGTTTCCCAAGAGGTAGTCATCTAAAAACAAACAATAGATTTATTTCTGCAAAAAAAGGAGAGAGATTCATTATATTTCTTCTAATAAGCCTCTGTGGGTAAATAATTATTTGCTTCATGAATAGAAAGGGGGTTGTGTTTCCAAAGTCTTCCTAAGCCCAGTTGCAAATCTCAAGGAAGGGCTTTACTAAGTTGATAGTTTTACTACGGTACATATGTAGGAATTATCTTATAGCCAAATCTGAGATTTCTTAGAATTACAATCCTGAAACCTCTGTGGGATCAATCACACAAAGCCTGCTGGAATGCCTTTTTCAGGTGGTGCTGAAAGAAATGTATTCATTTATTTAAAAGACTTACTGTAGATAGCTGCCCTTATTATAAACCACAATCCTAGGTGACTCACAAAGGTATAAAAACCTTTATAAAAAACCACACCATCCAAAAAACCACAATGGAAACTCTTGGTACTCTGGGTCAACACTCTCCCACATATCAGGCTTCCACCTTGCTGGACTCCATTCTCAGCTTTCCCCTACAATATGTCAAGGTCTTCCATGTCCCATACATAGCACTTGTCTTTTTATGTACACTGAGAGCCTATGCACCCCTGCGCATGCCCCCCCCCGGCATGTGTGGATGACCTCCCGTGTGCCCTGCCCACCTCCCGCATGCATGCATGGGCTCCTGTACCTGTCCCTCCCCCCCGCTTATGTGCGGCAGAGACCTGAAGGCCAGCTAGCCAGTTGAACTGGGGGGCAACAGCTTGTATGCCATCAGAGACGGTGCTGCACCTACGTGCCATAGGTTTACAAAATCAATGTTTTTAGAAAGGTGTATTGCTGTAGGATTTCCTGGTGGTCTCCTTTCCAAGTACTAACTATATCTGACTCTGCTTAGCTTTTTCACCATGTTAACTACAGCTATGTAATGGAAAGAAAATTGATACGACATTATAATGTATTGTAAAAGTTGTATTTAAAGATCCAAGTAAACAACACGTTCACTAAGCACACAAGAATTCAAGATGTGTCTTCAATTAAATCCAGACTGGATTTAAACTGACCTGAATTTCTGCAAAAGCAAATTTTGACTGCATTTCTATATCTAACTGAGCTATGAGTCATTTGGCACATAAAACTTCTCAAAACAGAATAAAGCACTTCCTTTTGATTCATGAAAGCAGCTGGGTTGCTTTCTAGGATCACTAAAATATTTTGAACACTGGTCCTTACTACCTCCACATGTAGGCAGTGACAGCTAGTAGTAGTTTGGCAAACATTTATGTGGGCCCGGATAAAAGATGTTAAACAGCATAGAAGGTGCTTTGTTTATACTTCTGTATGATCCAAGGCATTTCTTTTGCAGGATTTATGCAGTATCTTGTCAGTACTGAACATGTAGGGGAGAATTTCTTATTATATTACACCATTCCAAGTAGTCAGAAACATAATACAGAGGATTTTGTATCTGATCTTTCTAGGGATTGTGATGTGTCATCCTTAGAAAGAGAAATGGAAACTGGAAACTACCCTCACTTCTGTTCTCTAAACACCAGAGTAGCTTAGGTTTTCCTCTGAGTAGTTTACAATATGTTATCTTCTCAGAAGGACTGTTTACATAGGCACTAACCAGAGGTGGTATTTAACCAGTTCTGGCAGGTTCTGGAGAACCAGTAGCAGAAATTTTGAGTAGCTCAGAAAACTGACAAATAGGCTGGCCCTCAGTGGTGGGTTTCAAAATTTGTTGGAACTTACTCTGTGGGTGTGGCCTCCTTTGTGGGAGTGGCTTGCCACCCATGTGATCAGATGGGAGTGGCTTACCGCCCATGTGAGGTGGCGCAGTGGTTAAATGCAGCACTGCAGGCTACTTCAGCTGACTGCAGTTCTGCGGTTCGGCTGTTCAAATCTCACCGGCTCAAGGTTGACTCAGCCTTCCATCCTTCCGAGGTGGGTAAAATGAGGA